CACACACACACACACACACACACACACACACACACACGACTAACCACGAGAACAACAACATTATATGCACACGTCTGATTGTAGATGAGAATAAGAATATATGAAGTATCATTAGTATATCAGTGACTTACATGAGATAAACAGCAGCTTCAGGCCTCAAATACGCGTTCTCAGAGATAAATGTGTGTGTCTCGCATTCTTCTTCTTCTTCTACGCCTCCTCCTCCTCCTCCTTCTTCTTCTTCGGTGGTGAATATGCGGATTACTGGCTCAATACCGCACCCTTCTGCTCCGGAGTGTGGGTCAAACAAAAGCATTACATTCGGAGGAAAAACGAGATAAGATTGCTATCACTCTATCAACATGTTCTTGCGTATTCATCGTATCTTATAAAAACTCTGTTCCCTTTTTATTTTAAACGCACAGAGTTCCGCATTCCTCCGCGTCACTGTTGAAAGCGGCGCGTTTCGTTGCCTGTCTCGCTTTATCGAGTCTTATCTGCGCGCTTTGTTACCATAATCACTTAATATATTATATTGTTTTTGTATCCGCTTTAACTCCATGTTCCAGCAGAGCGGCGATGTTTCCCGTCAGGCAGTAGGTGCCCGGATCTGCAGGGTGGCAGCTGAAGGACCCCGCGTCGCTCCGTTACACTCGTGTATTCGCCCTCAACCGGAGACTCTCGCGATCACAGCTCAAGATGAGCGCGCTGGAGACGCTGGATCGAGTCGAGCTGTGTGGAAGCCTCCTGAAGTGGGTGAGTTCTGATGTTTATATTCTTCTGTCGTGTTCTTCTTCGAGGCGCCGCGTAGACGAGACTCAAGAATGCGGTAATCTTCCAGTACCGTACCGCGGTGACGGTAACCGCCGGAGTACCATACCGCGGTATCGCCGTACCGTGATACTGTCGCGGCGCTTCTTCTAACTAGCGGTCAGTCAGGAGTTAACCAGTCTTACTTTCCTGCTTCATATTGGACCAAACTAGTTAGCTATTAAAGCTACACAAGTGTGTGTGTGTGTTGTTTGAGGAGCGTTGGTGACACGGAGCGCAACAGTGAGAGATTGTGTTGTCTTCAGTGGCTGAACACTGCTGAACTCAGTCCTCCCAGCTGCTGTCAGACGACACGTCACGACTTCCTGTTTACACCAGCGCTGCTTCCTGTGGGCGGGACTTCCTGTCCTGGTCCTGGGTTCAGTGAAATCTGCAGAAACCCTTTCCGTTGTGGGAACCTGAGAAAGCTGGGTCTCCAGGAACTAAGAGCTCTTAATGCAGATTACAGCGTCATTGCAGAAGCTGAGGAGTGTGTGTGTGTGTGTGTGTGTGTGTGTGTGTGTGTGTGTCTGTGTGTGTGTGTGTCTGTGTGTGTGTGTGTGTGTGTGTGTGTGTGTGTGTGTGTGTGTGTGTGTGT